GCCAGTCAACTGGTGGGGACTGGGTGGCTACCTGCTGGGCAGAGAGGAGGCCACCTTGACCATGTCGTTGGCTTCCCAACACCACCATGCCATTGAGTTCCCAGTATGACCATCCCGTTGGCCTGGCCACCACAACCACCCAGCTGGGCTCCCAACATGACCATCCCATTGGGTTGGCCACCACAACCATCCAAGTGGGTTCCCAGAATGACCATCTAACTGGGTTGGCCACCACAACTGCCCAGTTGGGCTCCCAGAATGACCATCCAACTGGGCTGGCCACCACAACCACCCAGCTGGGCTCCCAACATGACCATCCCGTTGGGTTGACCACCACAACCACGCCCTCAGCACGGCCAAGAGGTTCTCACACCAAGCGTCTCCCGGGGTTCCGCAGGGTCATGTAGACATCTCCCCAAGAACCATGTGACCCCCTCCCCAGGAGAAGAGCTCTCCCGTGGAGGTCTCCTCCCGTGGCCACCCGAGGCCACCCTCCTGGCCAAGGAGGACCTGAACTGCCCCCAGATTTGATGTCTGAAGAGAGGTCTCCTCCTCCACCCCTTCCCACCAGCTCTGTGGACTGGGACCTTGCTTGGACCAGAACAGGTTGGGTGGAGGAGGCAAACCAGTTTGAGGAGCCTGTGGCACTGGTGTGACTGGCCTGGGCAGGGGCACCCATGTGCTGAGCCCATGGGAGGACCACGGAGGCCACCGTCCCCGCGCCACGGGGGCTCGAGCCATCTCCTCGAGGTAGAGACGTGGACGTTCTTCCATTTTGTGGTGGTCTCTGAGCTTCTCCTTGGCCGAGCACCGACGCGGGGGGAGGAGCTGCCAGAAAAACGGGGCAGAAACCCCGGATTTTAGGGCTTTTTTTTTTATAGTGGGGTGCGGCGAGGACCTGGCGAGCGGCCAGGAGGTCCAGGTCCTCAGGTTGGAGCCGGTTCTTCTTCCACTCGGGTTGGACCAGGGAGGACTCGCTTCACCTTGGCCGACTCCGGCTGACCCGCCGGGTGCCTCGGTTTCCCCACCTGGTGAAGGATATTCATGGTGGGAGGGGGGAGGTCTTCTGCCCTACTTCCCAGGAGCTCCTCCCCACCTCCACCACGTGGACCTTCCCCGGCACGTGCCACATCCGCCGAGGAACCTCACCGTGGTCCTTTCTCCACCCCTTTGCCCAGGCCCATCCCCATCCGCATGGGTGACCACAGCTTGAAGACCAAGGAGGGGACGGAACAGTGCATCAACTCGGCCAAGGCCTTCATCCACCCCAACTACAACCCCACCAGCCACGACAGTGACATCATGCTGCTGAAGCTCCAGAAGCCGGTCCGCTTCACCGACCACATCAATCCCGTGGCCCTTCCCAAACGTTGTCCCCCACCCAACACCGAGTGCATCGTGTCGGGGTGGGGCAGCACCAGCAGCCCTGAGGGTAGGTGGAAACATCTCCTCGTAGCACGTGGCGGGGGTGCGGGGTGGTCCTCAAGGGACCTGGGGACGTCTCAGCATCGTGGGGACATCCCAGCGTCTTGGGGACATCCCAGCGTCTTGAGGACATCTCAGCGTCTTGAGGACATCTCAGTGTCTTGGGGGCATCTCAGCATCTTGGGGACATTATTAGTGTCTTGGGGACATCTCCCTGGGGGGGAGGCCTGGGTCCACCAGCGGTCCCCGCGGTGGGTGGCTGTGGAGGTCTCTGTTCTCCACCAGGTCCATGCCATGACCACAGGAGACTCCAACGGTGTCTCCACCTCCACGGTGGCCGTTCACCCCCTCATCTTGAGGGCACCTTCCGTGGTGGGGTGTCACAGCCCACATCACCCTAGGAGGCAGAAGGTCCCACTGTTTCCGTGCTCCCCTGGGACCCTTCCCCCAGGCTGAGGTGCGTGCCAGGACCCCCGACCATGTCCCGCTGTCCCCAGGGTACTTCCCCGACGTTCTCCAGTGCGGCGTGGTCTACACCATGCCCAACGAGGAGTGCGGCAAGCTCTACCCCAAAGGCATCACCAAGAACATGCTCTGCGCCGGCGTCACCGCGGGGGGCACCGACTCCTGCCAGGTAGGTCTCGGGTGGGTGGGGGGGTGCTGCCCCCTGCCCTGGCAGGGTGGGGGTCCGGGTGGCTCCTTGAGGAGAGACCCCCGTGGGGTGGGGGCACCCTGCCCGCGTGGCGTTGAGGACCCAACTCCATGGCGTATCGGTCTTGGGGACACGGGCCGCTGGAGGGACCCCTCGCCCCACCACGGGGACCCCCGGCTGCTACAGGCACCACCTGGGTTCCGTAGGTACGCTGGGTGCTATAGGGACCCCTCACCGAGCACCATGCACGCCCCTGGGTGCTATAGGGGTCCCTGGGAGTCATGGACCGCGCCGTCCCAAGCACCGTACAGCACCCTGGGCGCTGGAGAGACCCCCTGGGTGCTATAGGCACCCCCCAAAGCACCATACAGATCCCTGGCTACCCTAGGGACCCCCCAGGCACTGTACAGCTCGCTGGGTGCTATAGGGATCGCTGGGCATTATAGGGATGCCTGCATGCTATAGGGACCCCTGGGAGCTATAGGGACCACAAGGCAACCAACATAAAGCCTTCTGGGTGCTATAGGGACCCCTAAGGTGCTATAGGGAGGCCTGGGTGCTATGGGGATTCCTGGGCCCTATAGGGACACCCTGGGTGCTATAGGGACCCCTAATTGCTATAAGGAACTTCTGGGTGCTGTAGGGACCACCCAGCAATGTACAGCTCCTATACGTGCTATGGGGACCCCCACGGCTTTAAAGAGACCACAAGGCAACATACAGGCCCCCTGAGTGCTATAGGGACCCCCAAGCTCTATAGGAACACCCTGCATGCCATAGGGACTCCTAGGCAATATACAGTCTCCTTGGTGCTATAGGGACCCCTAGACAATATGGGGACCTCCTGGGTGCTATAGGACCCCCAGGGTGTTATCAGAAAGCCTGGTGATATAGGCACCCCCAAAAACTCTACAGCCCCCCCGGTACTATGGGGTTCCCATGGCCCTATAGGGACCTCCCCAGTGCTATAGGGACCTCCTGGGCCTCAGCTCCAGCTCCCCATAGGACATGGTGGTCTCCATGCCTTGACCCCATAGGGCATGGTGGTCTCCTTGCCCTGACGCTATAGGGCACAGTGGTCTCCATGCCCTGACCCTATAGCACATGGTGGTCTCCATGCCCTGACGCTATAGGGTACGGTGGTCTCCATGCCCTGACCCTATAGGACATGGTGGTCTCTGTGCCCTGACGCTATAGGGGACAGTGGTCTC